ACATAATAATTACATGAAAACAAAAAGTATAACGAGAAATAAATCCATACATCTACCTAAATTCAGCAAAAGAATTAGCGATAAAAATAGCTACCTAAAAGCAATCAAAATGTTCAAGAAATTACCAACAGAGCTGAAGAATATGAAGGAGAGCAAAAAAAATATAAAAAACAAATGAAAAATGCACATACTAATATAATGAAAAAAAATTATGGAAGTAAAAATTAACTGTAAAAATTTGAATCGAACACTAGAAAAGTGGTATGGACATTGGTATTGTACATATCGAAAAAAAAATATTAGATGTAAGAACTTGTATTTAAGCACATGGAAACTGCAAACTGAATTACAAAAAATCGTATTCTAGAATACCAATATACAATTACAAAGAAATTTAATCAAAGACTAAAAAAGAATTCGAAACCATAGTCAATTTAGCAAATGACTTCATAAAATGAAGAATAAATGAAACGAACCACTACAATAAGTATACAAACACACACAGCAATTCGAGAAGAGATTCAAGACATACGAGAGGTGTTCAAAAAGTAAGGTGACTTTCAATTTTCACGGGCTACGTACATTCAAGTTTTAAATATTTGTTGTTGTTGCGTTAGTACCCTCGTTATGATCACATATTCATAGTTTTGACTATATAGCATGTGTTGTTTTCCTGGCAGAGGCGTGAGAGGTTAGAAGTGTTCGGCGTGCTTAGCGATTTTCTTTTATCGAAAAGAATAGAGCATAAAGTTTGCATTAAATTTTGTGTAAAAAATGGAATTCAGTGCTCTAAAGCTCGTGAAATGTCAATAGTTGCATACGGTGAGTCTACTTTGAGTAAGAAAAATGTGTATAAGTGGTATAAGCTGTTTTAAGAAGGCCAAGAGATTGTTGAAGACGAACCTCGCCCTGGACGTCCCAGCACATCAACAACAGATGAAAACATTGAAGCAATGAAAAAAATCATGTTAAAAAAACCGTTGAATCACCATCAGAGAAGTTGTACAAGATGTTGGAATATTGGTTGGCTTATGTCATGATATTCTTTTAGATGTTTTGGGCATGAGACGTTTGTCAGCGAAATTCCTTCCAAAATTACTTAATTTTGATCAAAAGGATCGTCGTAACAATCGTCCCAATAGAACATCCCAGAAGAACCAATACCCAAAAAAGCACGACAAGTTCGATCAAATGTCAAAGTTTTGCTCACTGTTTTCTTTGGTTACCGTGGCATAGTTCATCAGACATTCTGACCTTAAGGTCATACGGTCAATAAGGAGTATTATGTTGAAGTTATGGGTCATTTGCGAGAGGCAATACGTAAAAAACTTCCGGAACTTTGGAAAAACAATTCGTGAGGTCACAGGCAACCAACCTATCAACTATGGGGGTGCGGTCAATACAATTGTCATGTTTTTGACTTTATCATCATCTACAGCTTCCTGAAGTCCCTTATCAGGTACATTAGTTGTTTGCAGGTCTAATTCTGAAGGTATTGTCAGTACTCCATTTCTTGTTTTTTTTCATTTCTTCATTGTTTAAGAATTTAACAGTTTTTAATATTCCTTTTGGCATTCCTATACACGCACCTTCAGGTTTTATTTCAGGTATGCCAGTATCTACTTTACTGTCCGGAACTTTTATTATTTTATCTGCCATTGCTGGGATTTGATGGTCAGTTTTGTCTGTTAATATCATTTGTTCGGCCGGTGGAAATGCTAGATTTTCCACTAACTGTTCACTATTTTGTATCTTGCCATTAATGTCAAACAGTAACGTTTTCTGATTCTTAAGACGTTTTAGCAACTTAGTAAGTGGTTCTTCATCAATCCAAGACAGTTCCTGTCCATTTATTTTAGCGGTATTTCCTTCGATAATGTCTTCATCCTCGTCTGATGAATGGTCATCTATACTTTTATCATCACCTGATGATATTTCCCATATTGGGCAAGTATTTTCTTCCGAGTTTGTGTCTATTTTTATGTGGGAGGCCATTTTCATGGCGATTTCCTCTATTTGGTTATTTTGGCCCATTATTGGGAATCGGGAGGAAGCAGTGGGCTCGTCTGCCTCCCACCTAACGCATTTCCCAACAATTCAGAGCGAATATGCTGGCATATTTTGCAAAAGTCAAAGGGCGCTCCTATATACTGTTGGTCAGTCACTTTTACCCCCCCCCCCCCCCAGCAAAATAGCTTGAACTTGGAAGTTTTATATTTTTGGTCAGAATCAACGTACAGAGACGAGCGGGAACGCATTTAAAAGCTATTTACAAGAGATTTTGAATAGTATGCATCGCAAAATTTATGAAATCGGTTTTCTAATTCTTTCAATCAAATATCCATCAATGAAAATTCCGAAATTTTCAATCTATCTTTGATAACTTGCCAATTCTAGGGAAAAAATCCCACAAAAATTTTGAGCATAGCATTTTCTTCGTTTTTCCAAACCCTATCCAAATCACTTGTCAAAAAATTTTGTCCGTCAAATATGACCCTTGTATGAGAAATTTTCTTGAAAATTGACACGTTTTTTCAACTTTTTATAACTTTGTAAATAAAAATCCTAGAAAAAAGTCTACATGAAAAAAAATGTTTTTTTTCACGTAGAATACTGTAAAATTTTTTTAGATTATAAAAAAATAATTTTTTTTATCCATCTTTCTATGGTCGTTCAAAAAAAAAAGTAAAATATTCATCTGCAACGTGAAATTGTCTTCTTGTAAAATAAAAATTGTAGATTTCAAAAACTTGTTGTTCCCATTTTTTTCCTCACAAGAACGTTATTTTTCAATTATTTTTCATCGCTGTTTTTATAGCCGTTCCAAATAAATATATATATTGTACAGGAAACGATAGTGAGTATACGTGTGTGTATTCACACCCAGTAATCACAAGCTTATTTAGTAGCTACCCAACACACTGTATACTCTGGTGTTTACAAATAAAGTTATATACGAACACTCACCATATGAAATGTGGTATCTTCTTAAATATTTCTGTGTCTACGATTATGAACAAACTAGTCGATCGCGAGCGTTTCAAGTGTGAACAACTGTTTGTGTAATGTGTAGTGAACATGGCAAAATCGAAAAATTTGTTCGTGCGTGAACGTAATAAGATCATTGCCCTTCATGAACTGCAAATGTGTACTCACGCTATTTCAAAGCAGCTGAAAAGAGACAGGCGCACAGTGGCTTATAATATTAAAAAGTTCTGTACATCTGGAAGTGTCGAAAATAGGCAACCCAAATCAAGAAGAAAAACTACTGCCAAAGAAGATGACTACATTTGTCGAACAAGTTTGCGTAATCGAAAAGCCACTGCCTCTGAACTTACCGCAGATGCCAACAAACATTTAGAAAAACCTGTGAGTGAGTACAGTAAAGAGACGTTTGCGAGAGAAAGGACTTTTTGGTCGAGTTGCCGTTAAGAAGCCACTTCTACGATGTGTAAATAAAAAGAAACGCTTACAGTGGGTAAAAAGTCATAAAAATTGGACTATTTCTGATTGGAAAAATGTTCTGTGGTCTGACGAGTCAAAATTTGAAATTTTTGGAAGTAGAAGGAGAGTGTATGTAAGAAGACGGGTTGGTGAAGAATATAAATGTGATTGTTTAGTTCCAAGTGTGAAGCATGGTGGTGGTTTAGTTATGGTATGGGGTTGTTTTGTTGGATCAAAAGTAGGTGATATTGTGAAAATTGATGGAATCTTAAAGAAAGAAAGTTACAAACACATTCTACAAAGGCACGCTGTAACATCAGGAATTCGACTAGTGGGAGCACAATTTGTGTTTCAGCAAGATAACGATCCAAAACATACATCCAAATTATGTAAAAATTATCTCTCAAATTTAGAAAACAAAAAAAAATTAAAGGTTATGCAATGTTATCAAGCATAAAGGAGGGCACTTTGATGAAAAAAAAGTTTAATTTGTGTGATACAAGTTCTATTTATCGCAAATTTATGTTTGTTAATTACAAAGACATTATTGTTACGTGTTATTGTTATAAGACGGTGCATTTATTTATTCTAATTTTATTTATTTCGAATGATATTTAGCAAAAAATTTGGTTCATCGTCCAATCGCGTTTGGTTACTTTTGTCTATTTTTTGTTATCTATTTTTTGTTGTCTATTTCTGTTATGGCATTCTACTAAAAACACGCTAGAATCAAATCCAGAGTGAAATAGCAGATAATCTTCAAGTTTTAGGCTCAATGAAACTTATGTAAAGTTATTATTTCAAATAAATAACTTTCCAGATTAAGCATGTATTTTCATTTGAATCATGACATATCATTATTGTTATTGAAAAACAGTGTTCTTATGAGGAAAAAAAATGGGAACAACAAGTTTTTGAAATCTACAATTTTTATTTTACAAGAATACAATTTCACGTTGCAGATGAATATTTTACTTTATTTTTTTTTTTGGAACGACCATAGAAAGATGAATAACAAAAATATTTTTTTTTAATCTAAAAAATTTTACAGTATTCTACGTGAAAAAAGATATATTTTTTTTTATGTACACTTTTTTCTAGGATTTTTATTTACAAAGTTATAAAAAGTTGAAAAAACGTGTCAATTTTCAAGAAAATTTCTCACACAAGGGTCATATTTGATGGACAACATTTTTTGACAAGTGATTTGGATAGGGTTTGGAAAAACGAAGAAAATGCTATGCTCAAAATTTTTGTGGGATTTTTTCCCTAGAATTGGCAAGTTATCAAAGACTGAAAATTTCAGAATTTTCATTGATGAATATTCGATTGAAAAAATTAGAAACCCGATTTCATAAATTTTGCGATGCATACTATTCGAAAACTCTTGAAAAGAGCTTCCAAATGAGCTCCCGCTCGTCTCTGTGCGTTGATTCTGATCAAAAATATGAAACTTTCAAGTTCAAGCAATTTTGCTCGAGGGGGGGGGGGGTAAAAGTGACTGACCGGCAGTGTATTTTTACAAACTTGACAGTGCGTCTGTCTTATTTTCGGTCCTATTCTTGGAAATAAAGTTTCCTTTTTCGGGCAAGATGCTGCATAATGACCTGACTGGTAACAGAAGAAACAAGGATTCTTTGGGCATTGTCTGTAATTATGATCACCTTGGCAGCATTTGCATGGCTCTCTGTTTTGTCTGTCTTCTGATTATTACTATTCACTGTATTATTTGTTTCTGTCTGATTGTTCTGAAACGGTATCAGTGAAGGTAAATTCCATCTTGTTTCCACGCTATTTGATACTGGTACTCGTTGATCTTGCCTGTACCCATGGGTCTGTTGGTCCCGGTTATTATTTCTGACATTAGTCTGATTGTTATTTATTTTCGGTATTTTGTCTTGATTTGTCCAGGTTCGTTCTTGTTTAACTGGTGGGAAGCCCAACTATTGATGAGTCCGAGCTTTCAGTGTCAGAGTAGTATCGGGTCGGTTCTTGCCATTGTTCACGAGAATAATGGTAGCCTGTATGTTTATTTCTGTATCTGGATGGCGACCGTGACCGTGATCGAGAGCGATAGTTTACTCGGTGTTTTGGACGTCTATTCCATTGTTCAATGTCAGATTCGCTTTCCGATGATAAAGATGATATCTTTTGTTTTTTCTATGTCGACGGATATTTCGTGACTGACTACCGTCTAAGTGGTCTGATCGTTGTGACGCTCTAGAGTAACCTGTCGTCAGATATATCGTCTTCACTGTACGAGTCTGAATATTTATTTACGCGTCTTCTCCTTTCTGATTGTTTAGCTCGTCTGTGGTTATCCTTATCACTATGAGTTTCCCTTGATGAGCTGAAGGAGCTAGATGGTCGACGAGAATAACTTCTGTGAGGTTCTCTTACTCTTGTATTTCTTTTTACTTTATGTTCCTCACTCATTCTGTCTGGTAGTTCTATTTTCCTTTGTTGATTATGGGTTCCCATGTCTTTCTCAACGTCGTCGAGAAATTCTTTTTCGTTCAAATACTGTTTCATACTCGTATGTCGAACTGGTTGAGCTCTGTTTATCTCTGTAGTGTCCTTTGAGGATTTTGCAGCAAGAGTGTAATTCTTGTCTAAACTCGTCTTGTTTATATTGTCTCATCTGTTCCTTTTTACAGGCTCATCTATCGCCGCAAGCTTAGCTCTGGTCGGCTTGACTGTGGCGAAGTCTGGTCTGTATCCGTTCTGGTCAATATTTGACGGACCGCGAATTTTCCTGGTTACGCCCAGGTTACTCGCTTCTTTAGTAGTGGTTTCGATCGCCTGTGTGTCTTTCGTTCAATTTATGACGGTGATTCAAAGTTGCTGTCGAACCAATTTGACTGTCTAGTACGCGTTTTGCTAGGTCTGTTGTATGACGGCGAACGTGGTGCCTGAGCTCGGGAATAGTTGTCATCTGAAATGATTTGTGCTATTTCCGTTTCTCTATTCCTGGTTTTTTATCTATTGGTATTACCTTGTTCCGCTTCATTGGTCTGATTCCATGTTAATGTCGGCGAAGTTGTGTGGAGTTATTTTGATGGCGTAGCTTGTCGACGAACAATATCTACGTCGAGTGGTAAATCAATTAATTGATTTGTATCTGTTGTGTGTCACTCGTATGTTTCTAACTCTTCATCTGCTGTTGACGTTGCATCTGTCGTATTTGTTTTTGGAGACTGGTTGGCGGTTTTGTTAAAGTCAGTTTTATGCTCTTCATTCCATAACGTTCTTGTAAACGGTGGAAAAGTTTCTATTCTTTGGCTGCAAGTCACGGATGGATTAGCTGAGAGTCTTTGTTCTCGAATTACCCATCTCAGTAGCTCTAATCGGTCTATATTATCGTCATTCGATATTCGCCATCCTCCTTAACGTAATTCATTACGAATTTCCTCCTCAGTGTTGTCAGCTATTCTATTTGCTACTTCTCGGACTGTTTTAATTTTCTTTAATATGTGTAGTAGGTCAGCATTTGATAATGGCAGTTTAATTGTGGCACTGGCTGGAATGTCATCATTAACAATAACCATTTGGACTAACTTGATTTATCTAGTGTCAGTGTGCTTTATAAATTTATTTATTGTCTGTCCGCTCCTACCAAAAATCTGAGTTTTCCAGTTTCCAAAGCTAAGTTCAAAGTGTTAAATTAATAGATATCAATATTGTAACGGGGTTGCTATCGTCTTTTATTTAATGCGCACGATCGCATATAAGAGCGCGCGGGATTATTCGAATATTCAAGCACAAAAGCCGGAGAGCAGGAGGGAACGAGTGTCAGTCAACCAACTATCTACGAAAATGAAATCAGTACGGCGTAAATAAGGTTAATATCATAGACGGAATCTTTTATTTCCTCTAACTATACAGCGCATTAGGCCCGCGTGTTTATGTTTACAGTGGCGCGCACGACAACAACATGCAGTGTCGGATCGCTCGCCGCTCTTTGTCCGCAGAGCTATTACATGCACACTTTTCGTCGAGCACGGCAAATTAGTTACTAGTATTGCTATCGCGGTCGCGAAATTAAGCTGGCCAGCTTACCTTAATGACGATTGTTCGGCAGCAAGAGAAACGTAGCACACAGCGTGTTCAGGCAAAGTCTTTCAGTTCTTTGTCGCGGATCGCGAATTCGCGCGCACACGGTTTCGCCCTCGATGGCGAAACACCTCACACACACACTTGACTCCGCATGAGATGGCACTGCTTTTGCTGGCTCAGGTCGACACTCCGGACAGCTCGGCAACAACAATCAACTAATATCTGCGCTGCGTTCGGACAATCAGACTGCGGGCTTCGATTTTTGCGGCTTGTGTATCGGTAGCTAATTCTCCACTTGGATCAGCTCGTCTCGGTACTCGGGAAAGCTCGGGAACTATCAACTATCCCATCTTGCACAGCTTAGCAACCGGGTGCTCATCTTCGACTCCTCTCAGGCGAAATCAATAGCTGATACTCGACTGCCTCATTTTCATACGCGCGCGTTCTGTCCCGTCGCGTGCCGAATTACCTCGTCACATTTTCCCCAACCGGTAGGTGCTGCCCTCGCTGACAGCCGCACGGTTGGGCCGTTAGCGCTAATAAGACGTATACCGTCACAATCTGGAAGCAGTCAAAATCCGACACCTCCCCAAAATCTGAACTGTCAGAATTTGGTGTCGAAATCCGAGCTATACACAAACCCAAATAAACTTGAACCGTCGCAATTTGAAATAAAATTTCACGTCAGACCCCAAACTGTCAGAGTCTGCGGCGACGTATTCGCACTGTCAAAGTCTGAACTGTCAGCACTTGAAACAGTCGAATCTTTAATCCGTTGTAAGTTTGCAATTTATAGCCAGGGTTTTGGATTCTCGGATCTGACTTTCAAAAAATTATGCAGGATCGGTCAGAGCTTATATAATATCCGAATTTATTTATAATAATATACTGGTTATCTTCAATACTTCTGGTCAGAAATACTAATTATCAGTATCTTGTACTGATGGTCAGAAAAATTACTAATTATCAGTAATATTATACTGATGGTCAGAAAATATGCTAAAAATAATCTTATTAAATAGTTATTCCGAAATAACATATAAACATGCATATAATAAATAATTAATTACATATAATAAACATGTATATAAAATAATTATCAATATATATAGCGATAATAATAGGGTAGTCAGAACTAATTCGCAAATTTCCGGTCAGTAACTATACACAAAATCTAATGTTGGGCGCTACTTGTGGCGGGGAATTTGGGGGGGTCTTAGCCGCACTCTCGAAGCTCTTCCGCCACAAGGCCTGATTGGCTCTTTATCCCCGATTATTTATTAGGGCGTCAGACCGCCGTGTGTGATTAGCGCGATTGTCGGGGATGGGACCTAGGTATAGCGACGTATTCCCGTTTGTTCTCAATGGGACTGCGCAGTGTGGGCAGGTATACGTTGACCCGCGATTTCTTCTAATTCAGGCCGTTAATGTCCAACAATTTGGTTTCCTGTCGTTCTCTCGTCCGTAAAATGCCGGCAGCTCAGGTTGTGACGCTTTACCTCGGGTCGGAGATACGTTCGAATTCGCGCGTATGTTACCTATCGTTGGGACCGAAACTTGCGAACCAGTGTTTCTCGATTATAACCGTCCGCGGCTGAAAATAATCAGCATGCAAGGAAGGGAGGGTAACAAGGCGCAAAATTATCAAAAATTGATCACTCTTAATTGTATTCATTTCAACCTACATACTATATATAGTATATATAAGTGGTCTAATAAGCGAATGATCAGTATAGCTCGACACGACCCTATACGCAGTGATACGGATCCACACGTCCCAGCGAGTTATATCTGTGACGGTCTATACTGTTGATTCCTGCCTTAGAAACCGTGATCCCCTAGTCCACTATCTAAATCCTATTACTCCCTCCTAACAATTTCGACAAATTTGAAAGAAACGGCAAAGGTCAGCGCGACTTAACTAAGACTAAAATTCTGTTTGTTTGATCTTCAACTAAAAGAAAATGGCGAAATGGTCAGCGCGACGTAGTTGAAGCACTAATATACTTTCCGATTAGATTTATCACTCAGGTTAAATTCTAATAAACGGGCAAATGGTCAACGCGACCTAACTCAAGCACTAACTTTCTTCCGATTAATCTAATCACTCACGTTTAATCTGAATAAAAGCGAATGGTCAGCGCGAATGAATTTAAGTACTAATCTTCTTTTCGCCTAACTCTAACTCTCACGTTAAATTAGAATAACGGCGAATGGTCAGCGCGAATTATCTAAACATTGATTTTCTGTACACTCAATTCTAACACTCACGTTTTTTCGGGGAGATAACGAAAGGTTAGCACAAATTATCTAAATCACTGATTTTCTTTCAGTCACTCTTTGCTACTCCCGTCAATTCAGAGAAATGGCGGAATGGTCAGCGCGAATCACTTGAAGCACTAAAGTATATCAGCGTCGACGTATCCACGCGTCACGACAACCTATTAGACCGAGAAATTCACGCCCGCACTCCGCAATTACTACTACTGAGTGGCACTTTACCTACTTACGATTTTCTACTGAAGATTCTGTGAACGAAAATTGGAACGGAAGAAGTCTGGCACAGATTACTCTTTCCAGCTTGAAGAATAGCGGCAAAATGGACGAGAATCGGCTTTTCGCGATCTCTTCCTCTCCTCTTTCCGAGAAGAAAACCTATTATTGGCCGATATGCTAATTCGGATATCGGTAGCGCCCTCCAAATATTTCATCATTGGTCAGTATGTAAATATAGAAAGTGTATGTAAATATATACAGTGCCCTTATTTTATCTCCTACTTTCGTCGCTATTTACCCTCTCTCACCCTCCACTAAGTCGGTTAGCATTGATCGATGGGAAAGATCTATCCCTACTCTTATTTATTTTTCGATGCGGACGGAAATCAAATTTTATTCTAATTCGCTCATTGATCGTGACGTCACCAGCGAGTTTCATCAGAAGTTCGAATTTTGTCAGTCAATTTATCAATTTAATTTGTCGGAATGGTTGTCGTTTATCATTACATAAAAAGGGTTGTGTTGATCGCATACAAATTTCCCTACTTATGTATTTTCCATTTTTCATAATTAAATTACAACTTTAAATTAATTGTGAATAATAAAAAAATTAAAGTCGTTTTATTCGTAACGCCCTCATCATCGCATTTACATTTAATTCTATAGTACTTATCAGTTCGCTCGCTTCATATGGTCAATCTCGCTCGCTCTCGTTTATTCTGTCTCGCTCGCTCTCGCTTAGTCTGTCTCGCTCGCTCTCGCTCAGTCTGTCTCGCTCACTCTCGCTCAGTCTGTCTCGCTCGCTCATGTTTAGTCTAACTCGGCGCTTCAAAATGGCCGCCCGCTCTCTCACACGTGCACCTCGTGTTTCGGTACCGGTCTTTGGAGTGCCTCCTGGGACGCTCCCTTTTCAATTTTTGTGGTGTGTGTGTGTCTCCGGGTGGCACTAGTGGTCAGCAGCAGTTATGTGAGTGTGACGTTCAGGATGTCGCCAATAGTGTGCAGCAGCCTGACACAGCTGATTGCCGGCTGCCGCTTCATCGGCGATTTTCTGCTCGCCCCAGGTGTGCCAGCGTTCTCCGGGTGTCAGTGCTAGTGTCTGGCAGTGTAACGGACCTGCATGTGTCATCAACATGAATTTCCGCTGCTTTTCCCAGTTAAGTTTTCCGTGTTTTCTCTCCGGTCGGCAACACGTGGTCGTGAGTGTGTGTGTGCGTGCGCCCTCTTATTTCATGTAGTGCACTCCATTTTTCGAGCA